CCCAGGTACGAATCTACACACTGCATATCAAGCCATGCTGTGGTGGCATCCCACATACGAAATAGAGGAAGACTGGCACAGATTAACACAGATTAACACTGCTTAGGGCCAATATTCCTCACACATACACACAAAAAACAGAAAATATCTAACTTTGGGTCTTTGATTTTGAGAAGTAACGTTCTATAGAGAAACAAGGTTGCCCTCCAAACACTGTAATGAAATAATACCCAATGGCATTAAATAAGAGGCAGAGGAAAGGATGTTAATAGGGTTTGGGGAAAACTGCTAGAGGGGATCCTTCACCTTTAAGGTGATATAATGCGGTACAACTATATTCTCCCACGAGCAGCTCTTGGGGCCACTGGGAAAAAAAGAATGATGAGCTGGAACCAGTGAACTGACTTAATGTGGCATTTCTTGAGTCTTATGTGGCTGTGGTGTGACATTAATACTAGAAAGGACTCTCAGGGCCATTTATTCATCCCCTTGAGTGGAAGTTGGATTGCAATTAAGCCATCTCCATCTGAGAACTTACACTTTTTCTGAAGACCTCCAAAATGATCCCCTGGATATCTAATTCATATCTCCTAATAAGAGCTTAAACTGCTCCTTTTTTCGTGCCTAAATTGAAGAAGATGGGAAGCCATCATTATTTTGTTGTAACCCTCAAGTTTCTCATCTGTCTTTGACAATACAGAGACTAGAAACGGACAAGGTATTTTAGGAGAGATATAGTTAATGGTGCATTTCCTATATGTAGCAATCAGGGTTCAAGCAGGGAAGCAGAGCCAAGATGATTATGACAAGAATAAGGATTCATTATAGGAAAGAGACCATACACTGGTATGGGAAGAGCTGGGAAAGGTCTAGAAGAAAAAGTCAAAGGATCAAAGGAAGAGTCACCAACCAGTGCAACTGAAGCATTGACATGAGTGGACATGTTGGACCTTTCAGGGAAATCTGAGAAGCCATGCATGTCTAGCTGACAGAATAGACCCGTAAGAGAGGAGCTCATGGAAAGGTCTAAGGGAGGCTGTGGCTCTGTGCAGCTATGTGGGGCCATAGCCGAGCACCATGGTGGGCTTGATGCTACTGTTGTCAAAAGGCCAGAGGTTGAGAAGATGACAGAAACAGAGCAGAGGAGAGCAAGGACTAGCCGGAACCCACTAGATACCTCTGCTGCTCTCTAAAACCATATATGACCACACAACCTTCGTGATTACGTATGGTGCTTTGCTTCCATCTTCCAAATCTCACACAAGTTTCTACTTTGACCAACTCTAACTCTGAGCTATGTAGTCACCAGCAAAACCAAAGTGAATAGCACAATCTAGCATGTTGTGTCACCTTTCTGTGTCTTTCAATTAATGTCTAAACTTAGGCTTAAATAAAGGTATTGAAAATGTTCCCTAAATCTGAATAGAGAAAGCCCTTATCCATCCTATTCTTGCCCTGTCCAGGTAAATAAAAGATTGAAAACTGATTAAAAAAATGATAAAAAATATTTCACTTTTTCCCTCCTAGCATTGTTCATTTACTTCACGGTGACTGATGGTAGAGATAGCTACAAAGATAGACCTCTGTTACTGCCCATCACATCAAGCTGAGTCACAAGGCTGTCATTCCACATTGCTGTACAGCACTATCTATCAACAAATTGAGCAGTTTCTAAATTGGCTATCTTTACATAATGTCTAACATCCAGAAGTAGAGTACTGTTTGCAGTGACAAAAGCTTGGAAACAAGCAAAATATCCATCACTAGGATATGGTTAAATAAATTACGCAACAAACATGCAATGGAATACCATGCAGGCTTTGAAAAAAAATGAGGCACGGTATTCAAAGGGAGCCATCTCAGTGTTATTTTGTTAAGTCAAAAAAGCAATGGGAGAATAGCATCTACAATACCATTAAACAAAGGATGGACATAACGTATATGTGCAGAAATGCATATGTCTATTGTCTCTAGGGGAAGTGACTAGAGATGGGGCAGGAGAAAGAATATATAACCTTCAAATTTTTTGCCATATGTTTGTGCTGCTTACTAGATAAACGATAAATAGATAAAGATAGATTAGATAGATATGAATATGTAGATAGATAGACAGACCTACATTTTAACAGTGATGTGCTCTGTGATATAGTGTGATCTGGTATATCTTACCCCTAAATCCTCTGCTCTTGACATTGAAGATGCCCAGGAGAAAAAAGTAATAGTTATCATAACCAGAAAACTAAATGCATATGTTGGGTCAATGTACCAAAGTGTACATATATGAGAGACACATGGAAAGAACATTCTACTTCCTCATTTCATTCCTCAATGTAAACAATACTTTAGCGTATATTTGTACATTTTATCACATGAGTTAAAGAGAAATGCAAATTGCCTGTTAGAAATGGTTGTTTTTTAATTGAGACACCCCCTATTCCAAACTACAGGAAGAAGTTCCCTGTTCTGATCATCAGAATGGTTATTAAAGGTGGGGGAGAATATCGTTACTAATCTAGGTCTGTTAAGAGGCTTATTCTGCTCCCTCCCCCCACTTTTCCTGGACCACCTGCTACAGGAGGATTGGATTTACTGTGCTTCTGCTTTGTAATTCATTTCCTCTGTCTAAATTACATTTCCCTCTTTCATTCCGTCCAGATGTTCGACAGGTGCTTAACTTCTGGAATCCCTCACCCAATAGCCACATATTCTTTCTTCTGTGTAGTTGTCCAAGGCTCAGAAGCAAATCGCATTTTGCAGGAGAGTACAAACTGCTCTTACACCAAACAAATCATGGCTTCCAGAGACAGGCACATTAGTGCGGGCTTCCGATGGGTGATGACTTCCTGGGAACAGGGCAGGGGTTCTCTCTGGCTCTCCCTTCCCATCTTCTCATGGCCCTTTATTGGTAATGTCCTTGCTCAAAATACTCAGCTGTGATCGTTGCAAAAATGGCTGTGGGACACAGTCACATAACAGAAAGTCTCTCCTCACCTCTTGATTAATAGCCAGTATTAAAGGCACTGAAAAAATTATGTTGGCATCTATTAGAAGTGGTTATTAGATTTCTTTCTTTCAAGAAATCCCGGCCTTGCATTTTCTTCCTTCAGTGGCCAATCTGTGTGCAGAAGGATATTTACCCTTTGTGCAACCCTTGGTTCTCCCATGAGCACTATGCAACTCTCTCGGTCTCTTGATAAAGAACAGCCTCCTGGAGGTGAGGGTTGCACAGGCATTTCCATGCCACTGAGCCGTCAGTTTGCAACCCTGTCTATAATTGTTTTTTACTTTGTTTATTTATTTATTTTCGTGAGGAAGATTGTTCTGAGCTAACATCTGTGCCAATCTTCCTCTATTTTGTATGTGGGACACAGCCACAGCATGGCTTGATAACCAGTGTGTATGTCCAGGCCCGGGATCTGAACCCATGAACCCTGGGTCACCAAAGCAGAGCACGAAAACTTAACCATTACACCACAAGGCAGGCCCCAAATATAATTTCCTGTTATTCTTACACTGTGAGAAACTGACTTACTTCAGGTTGTCTCCCATTACAAATAGTTTATTAAGAGATCGCTAAAGAATGGATGAGACTGACGCTCTGGCCACCAGCATTAGTGTTTTATCACACCTCTTCTCCTCTTCCCCAGGTCGGAGATTCAGAAGGTCCCAGTAAAGCTCATTAGTTTGATACATCTAGGACACATCCTTTTTCTCAATCTGCTCCTGCTACAGTGGACTTCTTGCTGTTGCCCTTGATTCAGAGCTTTGGCACCTGCTCGTCCCTCTATCAGGAATATTTGTCTTCCAGAGAGCCACGTGGCTCACTCCTTCACCTTCTTCAAATCCCTGTTCAAATGTCACTTTCTTATCGTCACCTGTTTAGAGTTATAATCCCAGCACTTCCTGTCCCACTTTTCTGTTTAATTTTTCCTCTGATGTGCGTTACCTTATATATTTTAATTTTTGTCATTGTATCACTCCATGATAAGATCCACATGGGCAGGGATTTCTGTCGCTGTTCACTGCTGTGCCCTCTTTGCCTGGCACAGAGTAGGCACTCTGGAATGAAGGAATAAATGAATAGTTGTAATTGTGTCTCCTGTCCATGTTGGATGGGCTAACCGAAGACTTTGCCCTGAAGGCATGAAGATGGGTCAATTCAAAGCAGAAGGAGCTGATACTTGCCTATAAACTAGTATGTTCTAAGCATTTGGTATTCTGACTCTTACCATTTTGTTTGTCCAACACCACCACCACCCCATTCTGACCACATTTTGGAGACTGCTCTCCCTTCCTCTGGGAACTTCTCGCTGCCAGCTCCATCCATATGTCCACCATGGGAGCCTCCATGTTGACACAAGATGACTCTAGCCCCTGAACTTTATTGTTGAGTTTAGGGGTAGACTTCTTATTCAAGCTAGACAAAGGACCTGCTCCAAAAGATTTGGAATCTGGGCCAGGAAATCCAAACTCAGCCTGGTTGTGCTATTGAGTTGAGAAAATGTAAACCTGGAAGCTGCTGTTGGCAGCCAGTTTTCATTTGTGCAGATGGGCAAACAGTGAAAGCTGGTCTGTGGCAGAGAGAAGTAGAACAGTCATGCAGAGAGGCACAGGGACATGAAACCAAGGATGGTCTGGATGCCCTTGGAGCCTGTGATTTCAATTCACTCTTGAGAGTCAGCTACATTCCTATCTTTGAATTTTGAAATACTGTTATATCCATAAACTACGTTCCCCCTTTTGCTGAAACTAATTAAAGATGATTTCTATCACTTGTTAAGAAAACTTTCTTATCTCATTTAATGCTGACAGAAGCCTGATGGGGTAGCTAATCTGTCTCTGATTTTGCAATGAGGACATTTTGGGACAGTTAAGAGTCATGTCCAATTTCTGTTGGAAAGTGGCAGGGCTGGGATTTGATCTCAGGCCAGCCTGACTCTACAGCTTGAATCAAGACTTCTATCTGTGATTCAGTCAAATCCAATCATGTTGATGCTTTATCTTTTTATTATGGAGATTTTACACACACGAAATAGAGAGAATGATATAATGATTCGCCATGTACGGATCAACCAGCTTTGATCATTATCCACATTCACCCGTCTCGTTTCTTGATGGCCTTTAAAGCGGTGAATCTTCAGAAAGAAAAGAAAACTCTGTAGGATTGGAGGCCTTGGAGTGGGATCTGTAGCATGGTTGTGCAGTTGTCCTCCACAGAGAACTACAGAAAAAGAAGAGACATTGAACCTGGAGCTGCCAAGAAAGGCGTGGTGCACAGTGGCTTTAGAGGCAGGAGGTGGATTGGATCACCCGAGAGAGAGAGAACTTTTCCAGCCCCAGTGAAAAACGCTAAATATTGGAAGAATCTTTAGAATTAAAAAAAATGCAGAAAGCAGTACCCCTCTCCCACTCAAATCTATCACGTTTGTGATAACCAGGTGCGACTAATGCTCCGATAGAACCATCTGAGATACTGTCTGCAGAGGCCTCAGTATCAGAGTTCTTTTGTTTTGACCTCGCTCTGGTCTCTCTCTACTCCTGGTTGCTGATTAACAAGTGACACCTTGGTAACGGCTGAGGGATCCTCTTTCCTTGTTCTCTTTAAGGGCAGGAAATAATCCTGAGCCTGGGGACAATCCCATCACCCATGATTAGAGCTGCACCCAGGACACTGTTGGAGCTGACCAGAGCTTTGTTCACTGAGATGGCAGGTCCCCAGCCTGACACTCTGCTGACAGCTGCTGTTTCCCTTCTCTCTCTCTCTCCCTCATGCCAGAAGGACATTTATGTAAGCGCCACAGGCTCGGTACTGAATAAACTAAGATAAGAAATGAAATGGCGGACTCAGCAGGTTGGTGGAGTACATTTTCCTACACTGAAGAAGCACAGTCCCAGAACTGCCAAGATGAGCTAGAGTCATTCTCAGGAGATCCTCATCCGGGCGTTTCTCCTCCCATCGTGGCTCTTTGGTGCCCACAACTTTATTCCTGGGATGGAGCCAGCTACCTGCCTTAATACCTCTCTCAGAGGGGAGTTGTGAGGATCAAATGAGATTGTGAACAGGGAGGCATTTTGTTAACTGCATAATGCCACACAATTGTAAAGGACTGTCATTTCTCCTACTCTACATTATACCTGGGGACCTGCCTCCCAAACCCAGTCAGGCCTTCTTTCAGCCTGAAATCCAGGCCTTTTTTGTGAGGAGGAAATCTTCACTCAGGATCTATTTCTGAATGACAGCCACTCCTGAAAAGAATCCACCAATATTTATAATTCACATGAAAAATGTGTCAAACATATTTAGCAAGCTCTCCATGAATTCCTTGTGTCTAGCAACCAAGCAGAAAAAGCAACATATGGAATTTGTGGTTATTTGATACCAACTTGATCTGACTGAACAAACAAATTTGCCCACTTTTCCAAATGCGAATCTGGTACAATTATTACTGCTTATGTGTAGGGGGTAAATAATGTTCTTACTACTTAAATTTTATTATTTCTACTTTTTTCAGAACGTAATTTTCATTCCTGGCAAAGAAAGAGAACCAATGAGTCTAGCATGTATGTCCTCTGACATCTCAACACACTTCTGAATATCCTGCCTTTTCCAATTCCAAACCTTCAACTTCAAGATTCTCTCCTCCCTACTGGGCATGTTGTATCAGGCATCACTGCATAACAATTTTCTCCAGAGGAAAGCATGTGGCCATTAACTCCACCTCAGGCAGCGAAAACTGTGGGTGAATCTGAATGGGAAGAAACAAGAGAACAAAAACACCTTTTCTATTGGGCTCTTGTCTGAAAGTTACCGCATCTGGGGGGGGGGGGGGGGGGGGGGGGGGGGGGGGGAAGATTTCAGCTCAACATAAGGAAGAACTTTCAAGCAATCAGAATTACCGGAAGATAGAGCAGACTCTCTTGAAGAGAACCAGTTCCTCACCAATTGGATGCAGGCAGCCACTGGGAAAGGATGCTGTACAGGGAAGAAGAGGCTGGGCTAGCTGTACACAATGCCCCTGCCAACCCTGGGAGCCTGTGAGTCTACGAGAGAACTGAATGGTTCATAAAAAGTAGGAGCTCCCCTCTGTGGCATTGTTTGAATGAGCTAGAAAAACCCTGCTTAAAAATGTCTTCTGCATTGACACTTGAAAGTCCACCATCAGTAATCTCTTCCTTTGGGTCAAACTTTTATCTTTTCCTAAACTGTTTTTTTAAAGGAGTAGTAATTTTAAAATTTTGTCCTTGGAGTGAAAGAACTTATAAAGAGCTACTCTCCCACTCTCCTCCTAAGAAAGAAAATGTGGGAACACCATAAAATCATGAACAAGAATTAAAAAGAAAGAAAGGAAGGAAGAAAGGGAAGGGAAGAGAAGAAGGAAGGGTGGAAGGAAGGTAGGAGGGAAGAAGAAGAAAGAAAGAGAAAGAAAGAAAGAATAGAAGGAAGGAAGGAAGAAGGAGAAAGAAAAAGAAAAGAAAGCCCTATGAGAAATTTTGCCCACACCACAATTATTTGGGACTGAGTCTGACAAGTGATGAGACATCTTTGGATTTTCTCAAATATTTGTGGGGTATGTCTTACAAATATTTCCTGCCCAACATCCCAATCATCTCACAATTTTACTTGTCCAATTTCAGTAGAGATTGTACCTTCACAGCCACCCACTGCCTCCCCAATCTTACCCCTCACTCCACCCAACTCTCCCCCGATCCCCTCCACAGTTTCAGAATTCTAAGATTGTCAGTGGGCAGGGTCAATTCAACCAAACATCTTCCCCTCTTTAACTGTCATTGACTTGAGCTCTTATCTCTGCCCTTGCACCTCCTTCTGTTCCCTTAAGCATATTAAAAGATTCTAGAGAAGACAAAATTAGCAAAAAGCATTGTCATTAGATATACAAGACTCTCTCCTTGCAGCCTTGGGCAAGCTAAACACTCACCTCAGTTTTTCCACCTGTAAGCTGGGTCCAAAAATACCTTCCTCACAAGAAGACTGCATTAGCACGGCGTATAGTGGATGCTTTCATCAGTCAGGGTCCCAGTTGGAAATTGAAGGTATACTTAACCTGAATGTTTGAGAAGACTTTCATGAATAAGCAACTGACAAAGGTTAAGCCACAGAAGGCTAGACAGTGTTAAATCCCATAATTTCCTCTAAATGCAGTAAGTTAAAATTCTTGTAAGATTACAAAATTAAATATATCATAATACATCATATTTAAGTATTATAAATTTTATTGTATTTGTGGAAAATCCATAAGTTAAAATTAAATTTAAATTCCTCCAATTTCTCCACCACTCAGAGACAGGTATATTCTTTGCAGACTTTTCTACATGCAAACACATATAGCCAAAAATGAGTTTATACCACACTTAGTGCTCAGTAACTTCTCTGGACCTCAGCTTTCTCATCTCTAAAGTGGGCCCATAGGATTGCTGGGGTTACCAAATGCATTATTACACGTAAAACTCTTAATAAGCACTCAATAAGTAAATTATTTCTTTTTCACTCAATGATACATGAGTTCATTGAGGACATACTATGTGCCAGACACTGTCCATAAGAGCTTCACATCTCTTAATTCAATAAATCAGTCCATTAGTAATGCCCAAGGAGTCCACAAATAAAGACTGCTACCAGTTCCTCCTAAATCTCATCAAGAGCCAAGATCAGGGTCATGGAAAATAAAAATAACATTTTTCAAATTTCTCTTTGATTTTAGAATTTGTTCTATGTGCTTTGCAATGTCTCCAAAAATTTTATTTAATCATGTTCTTGTCTGACCAAGGTTAAAATAAGTTTCCCTTTGCCCAGAAAAGCCCCCTGAAGAGCACAGATATTCACATGAACTACAAAGAGGTCAGTATTAGGAGCAGCAGAACATTCTAGTAACTAGAAGTTTGAGTTTAAAGCAGGCTTTGGTTTCAACCCTGCCTCTGTGCCTGGCTGTTTGACATTGAAGAATAACTGTCTCTTAACCTCATTTTCTCACCTGTAAGATGGGGCTATTTTCCATTCTGTCTCTCTTACAAGCTTGCTGAGGGAGGATTGCTTGAGAACGTGAATGACAGCATCTTGTTGAACAATATAAAGGTCTACAGAAACGGAAGTAGTTTATTTAGATCTTGCAACAAGGTCAAATTCTAGGTAAATAAAAAGGGATTTCCAACTCCTCCATGTCTCTTTCCTAACCACTCCTCCTTCAGCAAGGAGCACAACGTCCTGGCTGCCCAGTCCACCTTCTTTGGTGTCAAAGCTGGATTATATCATGCTCTCCCTACACATCACCTCCTCCTTCCACCAAATTGGCCCTGGGAGTCATGGCCACTGGCCTGGGACAAACTGTGGAATGAGAAAAAGCTCATGTCCTTGCTGAGATCCCTCCTTCTATATTCTTTTCTCTTTCTTCAGTATCCTCTTACAGAAAGGCCTGTGATGAACTCAACGTGCCAATGGCCACATCCAATCACCAACAGTCTCATTAATAGTAATGATCATTATTATAATAAATCAATACCATTTATTAAGTGCTGAGTAGATATCAGGCAATGTGAAGAGTTCTTTACAAACAAAATCAAATTTAAAACTTCCAACAATCCAATGAGACAGTTGATTTTATGATGTCCATTTTACAGATCTGGAAACTCAGGTTTAGCAGGGTTAAGTCACTGCCCAGATCACACAGCTAGAAAGTGAAAGAGTCAAGAAGCTAACTCAGTGTCTGGCCCTGAGTTGAGGTTCAGTACATATTTGCAGAATGGTTGCATTCAAATTCGTCAGAGATGATCATGGGACACTACTATATTATGAGTCACTATTAGTTCTATAGGGCCATTTGACTCTCAGTCCTGTGCTTGTAATTACACTCCAGTCACCTGTCATTCTCCTATTTTTCTCAATTAATCCTTTGACCCCAGAAAGGCTCCAGGCACATACTACATGCGAAATCTACCCCCGTAAAGTATTCAGACTGTGAAATTAGTTTGCCTTCCAATTTTCTTAAAACATTGCTTTTTCTACCCACCACTCACTTGCCTTCTTCCTTCAATCCTTAAAAAAGAAATCATTGCATCATTGTATTTTCTCACCTAGGAAAGCCTTTTTAAGTACCAGTCACCCTCGTTTCAACACTCTGGGACCCTAGGAGCGCCAGAGAGAGGTGTGGTAAGGAGAGCAAATATATCAAAGTGAGGAATAAATGCCTGCCGAGCTCATTAGCACCCAGGCAAGAAAAGGAAACTGCTATTTTTATCAAATGCAACTTCATTTAAATAAATTTCAGAATAACTTGATAGAACAAGGGTTCCTTTGGAAATTTTTGCTCCTTCTAATAAGGACTGGCTATCTCATATGTCCTTTCTAGCCTGGTTTTTATCCTCAGATATGCAACGTGTAAGTTTTTATATTCATTTCTTTATGAAATCTCCATCTCCACCACTTGCCTTTGGGTTCTAGTTCAGGCACAGGCTTCACAGGAAGCATATAAAAGCTTTGCGGCTGAGGTGGAGCGCCAACTCTGCAACCAGGATTTCAGGCTTCATCTCTTCCCTGTGATACACCAGCTGGGTTTTGATCACTCAGCGTAATTCCAATCCTATGATTCTTTTAGCCAAAGCTGGTTCATGACACAATGTATGATCTGGGCTCCAGAATTTAATTATATACGTTAGTTTTATCACTCACAATTTTGCCGTCATTTTACAGATATTCCAGGATGCTTCTCCGACCTGGTGCATCATGCTCCTCCTCAACCCTTGGACAAACATTTTTGTCTCATACTCAGGAGTCATGGCCACCTAGGGTCTCTGTGCTGACATCTTGTGCTTAAAGAGTTAACTCTTGTTACACACATACTCTTCCTGATTGTTTTCAATAAAAGAAAAAAATGGACCTAAAAAGTGCTTTTCCCTTCACCCTTTCTCCCAAAAGTACATTGGAGGAGACTTTCTATGTCTTCCCATCTAATAAGCTAGTTTTGCCAGAATCTCAGAAATTATCTTCTTCTTGAACATTCTTATTAACTACTGACATCAGTTAACCTTTTCATATTAACTTTTTGAAGATTTGGCAAACTGCAGCAGCAAATTTTAAGTGCCTACTCTATAATCCAGTTATCCCGAAGAAGCAATCTGGTAAGTGTGCAGAGATGTGCACGCCACTATTGTCCATAACAGTGACAACTGGTAAAAACCCATATATCCAAAACTAGGGAATTGTTCAAGTAAATTGTGGTACCACCATATCACATAACCATATTTATCCCCTAATTAAAAAGACGTTGTAAAAGTATTTGTTGATGTGGAAAATATTACCATCTATTTCTAAGTGGAAAAAAAGCCTACAAAACACTATAGACACTGTTATGTTAGCTCTACAAAACCCACACCTATGGTCCTATGTGTATCCATCTCTCTATCAGTCTAATAGACGTCCTAAACAGGTCTATACCGAAGGACAGACTTAGTTAACAGTGATTCTCTTTGAGTGACAGAATTTGTTTTGTTGTGCTTTCCTCTGCCCTGCCCAAAATTACTTTTGTAATTAGGGGAAATACGTGCTGGGTTTTAAAAAAAAAAAAGAAAAAGAAAAAGTGCTGCTTTTTATTTCCTCTCTCACTTCTGAAATCACGGAAAACAGCTTAAGAGGAGGGTCGCATGTTGGACCTGGGTGGCTTTCCAGTATGTTCACTTCTGCTTTCATTTGGTCTATAGTCCTAGGGAAAGCACTCTGTTCTAACTGCACTGAACAAATCACAGTTCCCAAGAGACCAAGACTGTCATCTTTCCCTAAAGACTGGCTTGCACATTTCCTCACAACCTCTTTAGAAGCATAGGAAACCACTTTTTGAGAATATATTCATTTCCCTCCTGACATTTCTAGATATGTCTCTTGACAATCTAAAGCTTAAGGTTTGACAAGTCAAGAGTCCATGTAGAGTGGAAAGTGCACTGGACTATAACTCAGAGTATTGTGTTCTGTCCCACTTGTGTTAAAACTATCTGTGGTTTTAGACAAGTCACCAAAACTGAGGCTCTGAGGTTCTGCTCCTCTAAGGAGAAAACAGAAACACGTGTTCTGTCCTCTGCCCACTCCATAAGCAGAGGTTGCAACCACCAAGTAAGATAACACATGGAGAAGAGGTGAGAAAAAGCACCTATTCAAATGTTTGCTATCACTATTGTGATTGTTCTTATGATCATTATTATTATTATTACAGCTCTTATGACTGAAGAAGCCAGTAAATGATATTGCAATCTGACTTTAGTTTCTGGAAAAGGAGAAAGAACATCCCCGATGTCCAGGTCACCAAGTTATCCTTAGCCTCCAGCATCATTTGAGGTTATATTCTTATATATGTTTATTAAAGAAAAGACTTGCCTTTATGATGTCAGATGTACATAGTCTGCTTGCTTCTCTGGAGGAAGGCCCTAGAACTCCATTGCTCATGCTCTTCTCCTCTGTGCTTGGCTGTCCCTCATCTCTGCCTTTTTCCCTGTAAAAAAGTACAGCTCCACACTGCTTCCTTTGGTTTTCTCCTACATGTCTTCTGTATCCTTAGTGTCTGGCTCAGAGCTAAACATGTATGTACTGTATTCAGGATATATGTGTTAAAATAATTAATTAATTATAATAATTAATTAATTAATTTTCTGAGCACATTTTGGGCTAAGCATAGTGATGGAAAAAATGCGGCAGGGAAAGAAGCTTCTAAAGCACTGAAAACACTGACCCAATGAGCACACAGCACAGGGCTCCTGGAATAGGGAGACAAAACCTGCAGAGAAGCTTCAGTCAGGATGAGTAGGGTCAGACGTTTTCTTTATGGACTAGAGGAGCCTGAACTCCATCTGGAACCCACCATACTTGCCAGGGGATCTGGAAGAAGCAGTCAAGAACATGGTTTCTCAGAGTAGGGGATGTGAAGATGCCCAAGGTGCTCCCAGAGAGAGAACAAACCCACATGCATACACACAACTCAGGGCCAAGGATATAGGTCTGTGCCCTTGAGTTAATCCTCTGACCTGGACTAAGCCCAGGAATATGGTGCCTCAGAGCTGGATGCTTAACCAAGACAAACTCTCCTTCTCTCCAATACTGTGCCAACTCATGATTCTCATGACCTGTGCTTGAAGAAATCCGGACTAGGAGTCAGAGGACCTCTGACTTTGCCAATCATGGCTAACAACCTTTGCCCAGCCCAGGGCATCCCTCCTGACAACTTGAGAAGCTACTCTCTTAATCCCACTCTACCTTGATTTCCATCTGTGCTCATTGGGTCAGCTGGTCTTTCTTCAAGCTTACTCTCTAGATCTAAGTTGCATCTACAAAATGAAAGAGTGACTGGGATGACCTCAATGTCCTGTGATTCTTTATTTTCATTTGCTTATTCAATTAATAGACATCCGTGAAGCCTTGTTCTGTGCCAAGAACTGCAGAAATAAAGATGACTACAATGTGTCAATGGCTTGGAAAACCTCACAATATCATGCTACATGGAGACATGCCGAGAAAAGAACCTTTGGTGGAGAGGAGGGAGGGGAGAGATGTTCCAGTGAGTGGTGTCCTGAGAGCAAGGTAGCAGACCAATATGCCAGGTTGCCTGAGACCTCATGCAGCAGAGCTTTCTTGAAGATAGGGTCATGAAGTGTTAAAATTTGGCTTCAACATCACATCACACTGCATAGGCTGCAATTTAGACACAGCCATGGACTAGCTGCATGACCTAGGCAAGTTGATTTAACATCTACACCTTTTGGTTTCCTGATCTGAAAAATGGATGTAATCACACTCAGCACCCTCCTTCCAGGCTGTTGTGGGGGATTTGGGGAGGAAATGTTTAACACATATTTGCTATTATTGAGATCATGAATAGAAATCGTTAGCCCCTTTCAATTTCATGCAAAAAAGCTTCATGAATTTTTTCTTTTATTGTCTTTGGGAAAATAAAAAATATGGAGGGAAGAAAATAGAAAATTATGCCAAAAGGAAAGAGTTCTTTGGAGAAAGCAATCATGTGCAAGAAGCTTGGCCCCTACCTGGACACAGGTACAATAGATAAAGTTCCCTAGATTAAACATCTCAGAGGTATCAAAAGTCACCAATT